ACGGAGGAGATGGATTGCTTAAGTTTAGAGTTTGGAGTTAGAGATATTAATATCTGTTTACTTGTAGTTGAATGTTAGCCTAGGTTTGGTTTGGGAAGTCTGGGGGGTAGGGGGATGGGATAAATCATTGTGTAATACTTGTGATGTATTTTTTCGTTTATGATAAAAACAATAAAATTTTATATTGAAAAAAAAAAAACAAAAAAAACTGCACCTTGTCTCCAGAATGTTTTGGTGGCCGCGGCTCTGACACGATGTGTCTAGTTATGTGGCATCGTGCAGCATCTGTCGACAGGCCAAGTATGCTACTGGTGCGCCCCCTGGTCTCTTGCAGCCGCTACCCACACCGGAAAGACCCTGGGGGGCGGTCTCGGACTTCATTACCGAGTTGCCCCCTTCCAAGGGTGCCACAACCGTCTTGGTGGTGGTGGACATGCTCACCAAAATGGCTCATTTTATCCTGTGTGTGGGTCTCCCTACAGCATGGATGACGGCCCAGTTGTTTATTGCCCATGTATTTCGGCTGCATGGGTTACCAGACCGAGTCGTGTCAGATCGGGGGGTGCAATTTACGGCACACTTCTGGCAGACCCTACTCACGGAACTGCAGGTACAGGCGTGTCTGTCCTCCGCCCATCACCCCGAAACCGACGGGGGCACAGAGAGGGTGAATGCAATCTTGGAACAGTACCTCCGCTGTTTCAGCAACACCCAACAGGACAATTGGGCGGAGCTGCTGGCTGTGGCGGAGTTTGCCTATAACAATGCCCAGCATGCATCTACCCATGTGTCACCATTCTTTGCCAGTTACGGATTTCATCCACGGCTCTTTCCGTTGGCTCCATCAGACTCCCCAGTTCCGGCCGTGGACAAGTTCCTCAAGGAGCTGAAGGCGGTGCAACAAGTAGTTCGGCACCAGCTGGAGAAAGCCAAGGAGGATTACAAACGATTTGCCGACCGTCATCGTTGAGATGTCCCTCTGTTATCTGTGGGCGATTGGGTTTGGCTTTCCGCGCGGCACCTGCCTACAGCACGGCCATCCAAAAACTCGATCACCGTTACTTGGGTCCATTTCCAGTCGAAGCGGTGATCAATCCGGTGGTGTTTCACTTGTCATTGCCCCAGACCATGCGGATTCACCCGGTTTTCCACAGGTCTTTGCTGGTTCCAGTCGCAGCCAACGATCCACATCGGCCAGCTCCACCACCGCCAGGTCCGGCCACCCCCCATGGAGGTATGGAGTATGAAGTGGACAGTATTCGGGATTCCTGTCGGTTGCGGGGCCGGTTCCAGTATCTCGTGGCGTGGAAAGGCTATGGACCTGAGCACTTGATGCCACCGACGTTCACGCCCCTCGTCTGGTTTGCAACTTTCATACCCAGTTCCCGCACCGTCCTAGTCCGCATGGTCCCGGAGGAAGGGGTCCTGCGGGGGGGGGATAGTGTCATGCCTCCGTCCGAGCCTGACTCTGAGGACGACATGGAGTTCCCTGTTGAGGCCCAGGAGGGGGTGTCTGTGGCTTCGGAGGACTGTGGGGAGGAACAGGCTGAAGCAGGCCAGAGCCCTTCAAGTTTGGAACAGGGAAGGCAGAGCTTAGGCGAGGAGCAAGGCCCCTCCCCACCAGATCCCAGAGCAAGGAGAGCAGAGAGGAGGAGGGAACAACGGAGGCAGGCTCACTTGCTCGGGAGGAGAGCGTCACGCCCCACTTCACAAGGCACACCTGGGGAATAGGTATTTAAGGAGACGCTGTGGGGTGGGGCATTTGCCGGGAACAAACGTGAACTCTTGTGATGTCAGCTCTTGTACCTGGACTCTTTGTATCTTGTATCAAGTTTGTTTCCTGCTGAGTTTTCCTTGCTGTCTTCAGTTTTGCAGTTTGCAGATTACAGGCAAGCTGGGCGTTGAAAAGATCATACTTTGTTTATCTGTTTTACTTTAAAGAACTGTTGAACTCCGTTGACTGTTTTATTGAACTTGTGCCAGCATATGTGGGGGCTGTTGGGTGAACGTTGGTAGTGCTTACAAAGACAATTATTCTGACCAGCTAATTGCTTTGCCTCCGTTCGGGGCCCTGGGTCATCACACTTGGTGACAGCTGTGGTCTGCAAGGTCACTGGCCCACTGTCATACGAAGTAGCCTTGGAAGATGGTTGCGTGCTGCGTCGGCACATTGACCAGCTGCAATGGAGGCTACCTTGTCACCCTTCCGCTCCTGACTCTGCTCTCAGGGGGGAGGAGGACCACGATCACGATCGTGGATCGCAGTCTCTCTGCGAAAGCGGGGGTTTGCTCTCTTCAAGTAGGGGTTTTGCCAACGAGGCGGCTCCTGACTCTGGCACTGGGTCCATGGGACATTGCACGCAACCGGATTTTCATGCCACACCTACTTCAGGCCTTGTGCCTATGGGACAGTGGTCCCAACCGGGGTCTCTCGCTGACCTGGGGAATTCCACCCCACCAAGGAACTCTGGTCTGAGCTTACCAGAAAGAGCCAGCCGAAGTCAAATGGACAAAGGGTTGGGCTTACCGGACCAGGCCAGTCAGCAAGATGCGGGTTCGCCTTTATCAATCGGGCCTCAAAGTCCCGGTCTGACGAGCCTGGCAGGCGAGGTTGCAGACTGGGCACTTGCAGCAGCTCCGAGACGCTCAGAGCGGGTCAGAGGCCCTCCAAAGTTCTTACAAGATTATGTAAGGTTCCTGTCAGTAAGCTGGCAGGCCTAGGGGTTCCCTAGAAATAAGAACACGCTCAAAAGAGTAACCTTGTAGTAGTTAAAAATAGTAGTGTCTATTTTTGTGAACCAAGAGGGGAGGGGTGTTATGTCCTGGGCCTGTGATTGACAGAGCAGGTGCAGGAAGCTGCAGGGAGACCGGGGCAGACCACGTGCCTGCCCGGGCCAGACAGGCTGTCTCCAGCCTATTGCGCACGCGCGAAGCGGGAAAATACGTTGCATTTATTGGCTGACGCTGTTCCCTGCAAAAGGGTATAAAAGGGATCCGTGCCATTTTGTGTTGTTCTGTTGAAGATTGAATAAAGAAGCAACTGTTGTTACTCCTGCCTCATCTCAGTGCCTTACCAATGCACAGAACTGAACAGGAACTACATCAGCTCTTTTCCAAGTCCTCTGATAGTTCCCCAGTGCTCCAGGATCTTTGAAAGATATAGTTCAGTGGTTCTGAGATCACATCTGCCAGTTTCTTCAGAACCCTGGGGTGTAATCCATCTGGTCCTGGTCATTTGAACTCATCTAGGGTGGACAGGTGTTCACTTACCATTTTCTTGCCTATCTTAAGTTGTGTTTCTAATCTGTTTTTGACGGTACTGCTTTTGATAGGCTGGACTGTTTTTTCCCTTTGTGTAAAGTCGGATGCAAAAAATGAGTTAAGTAGTTCTGCTTTCTCCCTGTTGCTTGTCACCTTCTTGCCACTTTCTCCCACTAATGGACCAATCATTTTCTTAACTTTTTTCTTGTTTTTTACATGTTGAAAGAAGCTTTTTTTATTTTTTACTTTTGTCGCAAGCCTTAGTTCATTTTGAGCCTTATCTTTCCTCACGTCATGTTTGTAGATTTGGGCTATTTGCTGATATTCTGCCTTAGTTATGTGCCCCTCTTTCCACTTTTTATACTTGTCCTTTGTCCTTTTATACTTGTTTTTGTCTTTCAATTTATCAGAGAGTTCTTTATGCAGCCATGCTGGTTTCTTTTGAAAGCAGTTATTTTTCTTTTTCGTTTGTATTGTGCTAGACTGGGTTTTTATAATCTCACTTTTCAAAGTTTTCCAAGCTTCTTGAGTTGTTTTCCCCTTGAGGATTCTCATCCATGGAATCCTTCCCAAGCTCTCTCTAAGTTTATTGAAATTAGCTCTCTTAAAGTCCAAGACTCTAGTTTGACTGTGTTCTATTGCTTGTGCTTGCATAATGTTGAATTCCAATATTGCATGATCACTTCCCCCAAGGTTCCTGTTAATTCAACACCTTCTATCATTTTATCTCTGTTAGTGAGAATTAAGTCTAATATGGCTGATCCCCTAGTTCCCTTTTCTACTTTTTGGGAGACAATTTTTTCTGGTAGGTTTGTCAGGAACCTGTTTTAAAATAATAGATAATGTATCATGACTGGAACAGAGAAGAAATAAATAACTGGTACACTCTATTAAAATTCCAATCAGCCCCAGTCAATATAGCACATGGTTAAGGATAATGGGAGTTGTAACCCAAAATTTCAAAGGGCACTAAAGTGGAGAAAACTGGCACAAAAATATGCCCTTGTATATATACTGTACTCATACATGCTCTCATCAGATGCCTTCATCCTCAGAGCCAAGAAAGCACAAGACCTGACATTTCCTGGAGGAGTAGAGGGGTTGAGAGCTTGGCATCACTCTCAAATCTTCCCAGATCTGTAAGAAATACATTTCTGCTCCTCCACATTCTTAAAGTCACAGGACATGTGCAAAGCTCATGATGACAGTTGCCAGATGATGAGTGGACACTTTCATCAAGCCCTGTGGAAGTCCTCTAGATAGAACAGTTGGAAATGACAGAGAAAACAGTCCTTCTAGGACAGAACAGCAGGAAAAACACACTACTCAAAGCTAATACCAGAAACTGTCTTCTAACATTTGTGGCTATCCCTTCATCTATTTCAACTCTCACCTTGCATCCTTCACATGCGCTAACACCATAGTGGTAGCCGGATGACTTATCCTGGCACACAAAGCAGGGTTTGTAGATTCGGGGCAGTGGGGGTGGTGAAGGAGGGCTGGGTACAATCTCTTCTGAGCTGGTACTTTGTGTTTCAATGGCTACAGAAAAAGAGAAAGAGAAAAAATACATGAAAGAACTGGTGAGATTTTAAATCTATCTGGAACCTGTGACTTACTTAACCAATTCACTTCAGTTACACTATTCTGAGCCAATCATGCATGACATTGCCTGATTTTCCAGTGCTTCATATGAACTGATGCTATTAAAAGTATTTGCTTTAATATGTTCTAGAAAAAAAGATGAAAGCTTGATTCACAGAGTTCTAGAGTTCTATTTTGATTTACCATTCAAACATAGACAGCTGTTAATGCTCTTGATGTTGAATGTGTTGCTGATCTCTTGCAAAGTGGACATAAATGCGGAAGGACTCAGCAAGAGTTTATGCTCTTACAATGTTTGCATACCAGAAATGCTTATACTACCTTACCATATCATCATTTTGGTTTCTTTAAAAAAAACACAAAAATTTCTGTTGAGGAATATTAGTAAGGCATGAATGACAAAAGGGAAATACAATTATACAATTATCTACAATAACAAATTGATTGATGTCTTTGTTAATTCAAGTGGACCCTTTGCAATGACTACTGTATGGATTTTCAGAAATTGAGAAGGGGAAATGTTCTGCAAACCCTGGAAAGATCAAAGACAGTCTCAATATATACACTAGTTAGCATCTTGGGAGCACCACTCTGTAGTTTTAACATCTTTTAAGAATGAACCATCTCAGCATGTCCTGTTGGGGAATGCTTTTCAGTAACTTATATTTTGGCCAGACAGATTTTGCAACCCAAAAAAGCTTCTAACATAGCACATACTTCACGAGGAAAATGGAGGAGGAATGCAGCAACCCAGTGAATAAGAAAAGCCCCAATTCTGTAAACCTGAAGGCCTAAAAGTTTTGAAAGCTGCCTCCAGCATGCTTTCTGCAAGGGTGGAATGTCATCTCTTCAAGATGCAATCTGACATTTTCAGGCCAGTGAAATAAAATGTGGAGTTGAGACAGCTATAACCAATCTCAGGTGTATTAAATGTTGGTCTTGCAGCTTAAGGTGAAGGAGGAGGAGAGAAGGAGGGGAAGGTAGGCTAGCAGCACAGCAATAATTTAGTTTTCTTAAGTTGAGAGCAAAAAAGTCTGAGGAATGATAAAATCATACTTAAAAAAGTGTCCCAGAGCACATGCAGCATGCTTTTTCCTTTCAGCAATACAGTAACTAACTCCATCTTTTTGTTCATGTTAATTTCCACTAAGCAGTATACAGTATGGGGTCCTTGGTGCTCTCCGAGTTTGGTGGTTTTCTTGCAGATGTTTGATTACCAAACTAGGTAACATCATCAGTGCTAGAAGGGAGTGGGGTTTGCTCTTATTTTATATATTAATGGCTTGCCCTGTCAGTGTTGGCAGGAGCGGTCTTGGTGGTTTCTTGTTTAGGCTGTTGTTTATTATTACTTGTTTGTCTGCATTGGTAACACTATGTAACACAATTTTTCTTCCTGGCTTCTAAGGGTTATATTTCAACTACTTATGTTTAAAGCCTATGCAAAAACGGCTATATTCATAACAAACTTTGATTTTGTGACCACAGCCTACAAAGGTTTTTTATTTATAGAGACAAAACAGGCATTTTTTAATCTTTTTAAGCAGTTAGAGAAAGAACAATATATACTTGCACGGCAAATACACAAAGAAAGTCAAAATCACTCAAAATGTTTCAGAAATGAGTAGATTTTCTAGATTTGTGGCTATACTGCAAATCTGGATACATGATAGGAGGCATGCTCTTGCCAGTTCAATGTTTGGAAGGGTCCATCATGCAGAAAGTAGCAGTTGTTTGAGTGGTCAGTCGGTTCCTGCCAAATTCTTGGGATAGCAAACTTTATGGCTTTCTTTTCTCCCCTGTACCAGCCTGTAAATATAGCAGAATTATATAAATTTTAAAAATGATATTTCACACATTACCTAATATTATGCAAGATTGTCAGTGTCCTTACCAACCCCTGGTTCCCACAGAAGACAAGTGGTCGACGTCAAGGTGGCTGGAAAATGGAACGGTCTGACCAGCGTTTATTTACAGTGAAACAAATTCAGCGCTGGGAATGATCTTCTCCCAGCGCCTTACATGCAGTCCGTCCCCTCAGCTCCACCCCCATCCAGCTAGCCAGCATCCGGCAAGTAACTTGAAAAGCAGCAACGCAGGCCCCTGGCTCTCCTCTCCAGTCTGCTGTTCAGTCCTTGCTGCTGGGTGTCATTCCTGCGCCGATCAGCTGTTTGTCGGCGACGCGGCCGCTCAGCTGTTCGGCGGTTTTGCAGGGCAGGTAGGACCGTCCCCAGCTTCTCCCCGGGCGTCGTCCCTGCCACCAGCCTCCACCAGGGTTTTCTGTGCCGAACAGCTGTCTGGCGGCCAACCAAGAGTCCTCCTAAACGTTCAGTGTTCGGCATTGTTACCGTCAGCTGTTCAGTGGCGTCGCTGGCTTCCCCGGGTATCATTGTCTCCCTCCCCCTCCCATTAATGTCGAGCCCACGGGGCTTGACAGGTGGCCCCCTCTACCAGGGCTCCACCTGGAAGGCAAGGAGAAACGTGATCATTCACTCGCTGTGGCGGACGGTTCAGCTGACCCCCCTCCTGGCTTACTGGGACACTGCCGGTGGAACTTCCTCAACAAGTGGGGGGCCTGGATGTCTACTTCCCCCACCCAGGACGCCTCCGTAACAGGGTATCCCTTCCATCGTACCAGGTACTGTAGCCGACCCTGTTGGACTCGGGAGTCCAGGACCTCCTGGATCTCATAACAGTCCCCTGTGACAGGACCCGGCACCCTTTTCACGGACCTGAAGGAGGTTCCCTCCACCGGTTTCAGTAGGCTACAATGGAACTGGGGTTCCATCAGTAGGCTACAAAGGAACTGGGGTAGCTGTAGTCATATGGCTACCAGATTGATAACCTGCGTGATCCGGAACGGCCCTAGATATTTTGGTACTAACTTTTTGCAAGGCACCCGCAGGCGTAGGTACTTAGTCGATAAGTACATGTCCCCCACCTGAAAGGTCTTTTGGGGTTTCATTTTCTTGTCTGCCTGCGCCTTTGAGACCTCCTCCGTTCTTACTAAGGCTTTCTTCACATTTCCCCAAACCCCCCCAATGTGAGCTATCCAATCGTGGGGTTGACAGGGAGAGGGGTCCCGCTGAGAACACTCGGGGATCGGGACAAAGTCTAGGTCATGTACCACCCGGAAGGGGGCAAAACCGGTGCTGCTGTGCACCACATTATTGTATGCTACTTCTGCGAACAGTAGTAGTTCCACCCAGTCTATCTGTTGGTAGGAGACGTAGCAGCACAGATATTGCTCCACCATTGCATTGGCCCGTTCTGCCTCCCCTTTGGTACTGGGATGATAAGCCGAGCTGAGGCCTTGGGACGACCTGATGGAACGGACGAACTCACGCCAAAAGTAGGCCGTGAACTGCACCCCCCTGATCAGAGATGATCCGTCAGGGCACTCCGTGCAGGTGGTACACCTGCGTGATGAATACTTTGGCCAGCTTACCAGAGGATGGCAACCCCTTGCACGGAACGAAATGGGCCTGCTTGGAAAAGAGGTCGATTATCGTCCAGATCATTGTATAACCATGGTTCTCTGGCAGCTCCACGATGAAGTCCATCGCTATATCCTCCCATGGCCGGGTTGGGACTGCTATCCACAGGTTTCAAAATACCTTGCTGGAGCAGTTTATCCAGCTCGGCATTAAACTTTTGCTTAAGCGCAAAGGGCACCCGACGAGGCTTAATTCTAATCGGGGCAATGGATGGGTCCAACCATAATGCAATTGGAGGCCCCTTGTACGATCCTAGTTCTGGGCTAAACACATCAGCAAACTCCTTGCAAACTTCCGCAAGACCTGCCCTTTGCAAGCTGTGTAGCCCAGTCACTTGAATCCCAAGTGCCTGGAACCAATCGAGTCCAATTAGACTCGTGCGGTCGCCCTCAACCACAACAATGTCCAGGAACCCTTCGAATTGCCTATGCTGCACTCTGAACGTGGCCTCCCCTTTCACCCTGACTCGGGAATTCTGAAAATCTATTAAGATCAGATTCGACGGCCTGAGTTTAAGTCGCTGGCCTCTTCTACAGCAGATTTGCTTGAGGGTGTCCTGGGATATGATTGACAAAGCTGAACCCGTGTCCAACTCCATCGTTAAGGGGACTCCCTGCAATTTGACATCAATGCGCAGCTTTTTCTTCAATGGTCGGTGGGCTCTGGTTCTCAAAACACTCCTACGGGACGCGCAGAAACCCACCCTATTCTGGCTGGGGACCCTGATACCTTTCCGAGGCAATTCTTCCGATGGACGGTCTTTCTTGTGACCCAAACAGACGGCGGCTATGTGGCCTTGCCGGCCATACGCCCAGCAAATAGCAGAGTGGAATCGGCAATCGGAGCGCTTGTGGCATCCTCCACATCCAAAACACCAAGGGAATTGAGCTGCCTTGTCAGCTCGCTCTTGGGGCCTTCTCTCCGCTGCTTCGTCGGCCGTAATTTCCCTTAGTGCATCCTGGAAGGAAACGTCTTCCTTTGCAAAAATCTTTTGTTGCAGCTCACAGCTCCTCAAACCACAAACTAGCCGATCTCGAAGCCGTTCCTAAAGGTCTTTGAACTCACAGGGCCTTGCAGCTTGTCGCAAAGCAGCAATAAAGTCCACAGCAGACTCTCCTGGACGTTGGTCCCACTGTTTGAATGCGTGACGCCAGGCAATTACCGATAGTTTCGGTTCAAAATGTTCCCTTAACATTTTCTTCAGCTCCGTACAAGCGATGGATTCCAGAGGTGCTGGGGCAACCAGATTTTCGGCAATATCAAATGTCTCTTGCCCACAGACACACAGTAACGTTGCAGCTTTGAGACCATCTTCCCGAACTTGGTTTACTCGAAAGTAGTTTTCTACTCTGGCCACGTATGAGCTCCAACGTTCAGGGTGAGCTGTATCAAATTCGGACAAACGCCCTATCTTAGACATCGTTACTTCTCGGTGGCCTCGTCAACACCTCATGCTGTTCCGGCTTGTGAAGGGGTTCCAGGATGAATCTTTCCGAGCTCTCCTCCAGCATCTTTGTACTGGCAGGCAGAGTCGCAGGAGTTTGGAAAGCCGAACTTCCAAGCACTTCAGCCTCCCGTGGTGAGTCAGCCTAGTACTTTCTTAATGTTTCCAAGCAGCACGATCCCACCTTTGTTGCCAATGTTCTGTTCTGAGCGTTGGTAAGGCATTGAGACGAGGCAGGAGTAACAACAGTTGCTACTTTATTCAATCTTCAACAGAACAACACAAAATGGCGTGGATCCCTTTTATACCCTTCTGCAGGGAGCAGCGTCAACCAATAAATGCAACATATTTTTCCCGCCTTGCGCATGCGCAGTAGGCTGGAGACAGCCTGTCTGGCCCGGGCAGCCTGGTGGTCTGCCCGGGACTCTCTGCAGCTTCCTGCACCTGCTGTGTCAATCACAGCCCAGGACATAACACCTCGTCCTTCTCTTCATTAAAGTAGACATACCCAATTCCAGCAACCGTTCCTTATATGTTTTAGCCTCCAGTCCCCTGATCATCTTTGTGTCTCTTCTCTGCACTCTTTCTAGAGTCTCAACTTCTTTTTTACATCATGGTGACCAAAACTGGATCCAGTATTCCAAGTGTGGCCTTACCAAGGCATTGTAAAGTGGTATTAACACTTCACGTGATCTTCATTCTATCCCTCTGTTAATGCAGCCTAGCACTGTGTTGGCTTTTTTGGCAGCTGCAGCACACTGCTGGCTCATATTTAAGTGATTGTCCACTAGGATTCCGAGATCCCTCTCACAGTTACTACTATTGAGCAAGGTACCCCCTATACTATACCTGTGCATTTGGTTTTTCTTGCCTAAACGTAGAACCTTACTTTTTTCACCATTGAATTTCATTTTGTTAGATAGCACCCAATGTTCAGGTCTATCCAGATCCTTCTGTATCTTAAGCCTATCTTCTGGCGTGTTGACTATTCCTGTCAGCTTAGTGTTGCCTGCAAATTTTATGAGTTCCCCATCTATCCCCTCATCCAAATAATTGATGAAGATGTTGAAGAGCACTGGGCCCAGAACAGAGCCCTGGGGCACACTTCCCTCCATGTAGATGCAGTTCCATTGAGGACCACACGCTGAGTACGGCTCATCAGCCAGCTACAAATCCATCTGGTGGTGATGCTGTCTAACCCACATTTTTCTATCTTATCAAGTAGTAGGTTGTGGTCTACTTTATCAAATGCCTTACTGAAGTCCAAGTAAATTATATCTACAGCATTCCTCTCCACTAATTTTGTCACTTTGTCAAAGAATGCAATAAGATTTGTCTGGCATGATCTGTTTTTGACAAACCTATGTTGGCGTTTGGTAATGACTTTGTTTGCCTCTAGGTGTTCGCTGATTCGATGCTTGATTATCTTTCACAGAATCTTCCCAGGTATTGAGGTCAGGCTGATAGGTCTGTAATTTCCTGGATCCATTTTTCCCCTTTTTTGAAGATGGGAACTACATCACCTCTTTTCCAGTCCTCTGGTGGTTCCCCAGTGCTCCAGGATGTTGGTTCTGAGATCACATCTGCCAGTTTCTTCAGAACCTTTGGGTGTAATCCATCTTGTCCTGGTGATTTGAACTCATCTAGGGTGAACAGGTGCTCACATACCATTTTCTTGCCTATCTTAACTTGTGTTTCTAATCTGTTTTTACGGTACTGTTTTTGATAGGTTGGATTTTTTTTTCCCTTAGTGTAAAGACGGATGCAAAAAACAAGTTAAGTAGTTCTGCTTTCTCCCTGTTGCTTGTCATCTTCTTGCCACTTTCTCCCACTAATGGACCAATCATTTTCTTCACTTTTTTCTTGTTTTTTACATGTTGAAAGAAGCTTTTTTTGTTATTTTTGACTTTTTTTGCAAGCCTTAGTTCATTTTGAGACTTAGCTTTCCTCACTTCATCTTTGCAGGTTCGGGCTATTTGCGTGATATTCTGCCTTAGTTATGTGCCCCTCTTTCCACTTTTTATACTTGTCGTTTTTGTCTTTCAATTTATCAGAGAGTTCTTTATGCAGCCATGCTGGTTTCTTTTGAGAGCTGTTTGATTATCTGTTTACTTAATAGCCACTATTCCCATTACCTGGTCCTGCACATCTTCCATTCCTATCATTCTTATAGGAAAACTCCAAATTTAAAACAAAAGTAAGCAGATTATACAACATTCACTGCAAAGCAGCTTGTTTTGTTCTGATATTTGGGGTTGAAGTATGATTAGTGTACAGTGTACTGCATAGCAGATTGGTATAATTGTGTGTTTACAGTACATAAACGTAAATCAAAATGCATGTCCAGGAGAATGTATAAAATAAATATAAATCCAGGAATGCAGGAATAGACTAGCAAATATATAGTGTAATCTGGGTCTTTAAAAAAAACCTGTTACCCCATGAAGAAAAAAGAAAAGAAGCCCTACAGAACATGTTATAAAACTTCACCATCTTTTCCGATGATGTAGGGTTCCCTCTCTCATTTACATCTGTGCCAAAAGGATTTCCCTTGTGAGCCTTACAGAACTGGTAGAGATTTCCCTTCTGCACCATGCAAAGCATCAAGAAAGTCAGCTTCAGCTCTAAATAACTCCTCTGCAGACATCCCTCCTGCTGCCTGCCCATCCCCACATCCTGCTCTTCAAAGGCAGAGATGAAAATTACCAAGGTTGCAGCCAAATATGGGATTTATTTATTTCCCACCCCCTGATTTTCTCATGGGAAAAGCTTAAGTCAAGTGGTGAATGAAGAGAAGACATATATCAAATATTCGTCCCCACCACAGACACAAAAATACACATAGAGTTCTATAGTTATCCTTGGAACATATTTATGCATCCATATGCATTCACTTACAAGGGTACAGATTTGGAGGAGGGGTGTTTCTGTTTTATTTTGTTTTCCTTTAAAACAGCAGGAACACATCCATTGGGTGGGGGGACAAGGGGTGGAAATCAGCAAAGCAGTTTATCCTAGGTGACAAACCTCTTGCTTTATTTGCTAGTCTATTCACAGGAGAGGGGAACAAAATAGCCAGGAGCCAAGCAAAGCAAACAAACTTGACTGCCATAGAAGAAAAGTGGTGCTGAAAGAGAATTCCCCAGACAATCCAATGGCAGACAGTGAGGGGATGCCAAGTATTTAGGAGAGGTGTTTTTTCAAAGACAGTTGGGAAAAAAAGAAAAGATGTGATAGAAACAGCTTTTAAAGATCTAATGAGCCCGCTTGCAGATTAAAGACCAAAGGGAATCTACAGGGCAGCTGTCTCACTATAGCATTTTCTTCAAAATGTATTAGTCCTTGTTATGTAAAGGATATGAACAATTCCCTTCAGAGAGCAGGAGTTGTATTGATTTTTTACCTGATATTATTTTAACATCACCGCAAGATGAGCAGCATATAAATTTGATAAATAAATAAATAATACTTGAAGGAACACAGGAAAAGGAAAGAGGAGAAAAGGCATTAAATAATTTAAAATATTAATGGTAGCAGTTGTGTATTGTACCTCGCAAGTCTTTATTCCCGTCTTTCTTCCACAGGAAAACAGTATAATTTGTTTATTACAGGTAGTCCTTGACTTACGACCACAATTCAGTCCCAAATTTATGTTGCTAAACGAGACATTTGTTAAGTGAGTTTTGCCCCATTTTATGACCTTTCTTGCCACAGTTGTTAAGTGAATCGTGGCAGTTTTTAAGTTAGTCATATTTGTTAAGTAAATCTGGTTTACCCATTGACTTTGCTTGTCAGAAGGTCGCAAAAGGCGATCACATGTTCCTGGGACACTGCAACCGTCATAAATGTGAGTCAGCTACCAACTGTCTGAATTATGATCATGTGACCATGGGGATACTACAACAGTCATAAGTGTGAAAAAGGATCCTAAGTCACTTTTGTCGGGGCGGAGCTAGCTCAGATGGACAACGGATGCTGAATTTCTGCCTTCTCCAGACCATCACAGAGAATTGATTAAAAAATATAACACCCAATTAAGGACTATGAAAATTTAAGAGATTATGAAACATGAGTTACTTCCCTTGCTTTCCTCCTGAAGTTTGGATTGTATTTAATTCGGTTTTGGACATTCTCCCAGAGAAGCTTTGAATTTGGATGTTTGGCTAAGAGACTTGAGAGGCGTTTGAAGGCTGATGGGGAGAAGAGGGGCCCTATGATTGAAGACTGATAGGAGAAAGAATTTGGAGAGAGTTTAAAGGAGTATAGCTGAAAAGATAATAGCTGATTTATAAGTCTACAGTGTGAAGGCCAGTTACTCCCTCCTTTCAGTCGAAGTGTTGAGATCTGGAGAAAGTGAAAGTATGAAACACCTTTAAGATAATTGCTGCCTTTGGATTTATTTACTTTCATCATGTTGCTTTCACGGAGATAAGTTGATAAGGATAAGATAAAGGGAGGAAGTGATGTGTATGGACTATAGACTGTGTAAAAATTCTTAGAAGGTTAAGAGCTCTTTTTGGTGCTTGGATGTCAAAATGCAGCCAAAGTGCAGAAAGTGTTTAGCAAAGACCCAAAGCAGGCCTTAGACCTTCAGATTTATGACTGATTCGAGTGGAAAAAGCCTTAGAAATGGATGTGAGGAAAAAATTGCCTAAGAAGTCACTGACTCAATCAGATAAACTTGATATTCTCTTACAAGAATTAAGAGAAATGAAGATAAATATAAAAGAAATGAAGACAAATATAAAGGAGGATTTGAAGCAAATAAAAGATAAAATGGATAATATGGATGTAAGAATAGCAGATCTGGTGAAACAAAGTCAGGATATGACACGAAATATTACAGAAGTGAAGACTCAGATGGGAGAACATGATAAGGTGTTAAAAAGCCAGACAAGTATGATGCATCGGGTGAAAAAAGATTTGAGATATGTGATTGTCAACACCGATCAAATTTACGTATACGTGGATATCTG